AGGGGACTCCTCCTCCCCTAGTGTCTGATCCTTCAGTGATTCCTTCTCCTTCTCTGATATTTTTACCCCCCCCAGCATCGATTCCAGGCTTTTGCGGGGGATCCAGGTCCATCCTCGCCTCCCTGTCTTTTCCTTTATCACCTAATAGACGGCTTTGGGCAAAGTGTCTCGCCACCCCCCTATATAGGAGCGTCGAGTCAAGTCTCTTGTGGGCACGCTGGTGCCTTTTCTTCATCTTGACGCGTTTGTTGTCAAGGTGTGTGTAGAGTAAGTGAGGCGGGTGGGGATGTATATAACGTGCTTAAGGTGAGCGGCCACCTTCTCTCTTTTCTTCTTCTTCTTCTTCTTCTCCTTCTTCTTCTTCTTCTTCTTCTTCTGCTTCTTCTTCTTTTCAGGGACTCAACTCAAGCTCCGTGTCTTCCCCGGGGCTCTCCTACAGTGCGTGCCGTGGTGCGTGCCTGTCTCTTTCAGGCCACGTGTCAATTCTCGGCAGCCCGAGACTACTGGGCTCACCCCCTCTCTCTCCCCTTTCTCCGCCACTCCCACCTCCGGCCGCTTTCTCTCTCTTCTCCTTCTTCTTCTTCTTCGTCTTCTTCTTCCTCTTTTTCTTACTCTCCTTCTTCTTTTTCTTCACGTCCTTCTTCTTCTTCACCTTATTCCAAGGTACTGAAGTGTGTGTGGCACTGCGTGCCCGCCTTTCTCAGTCCACGTGTCAGGTCGCGACAACCCGGCGGCGGGGTTACGCACCCACCCCTTTCCTCCCCCTCTCTCCTCCCCTCCCGCCCTTCTCCTCCTCCTTTCTCCCCCCTTTACCTCCTTTCTCCCCTCCGTTGGTGCACAACTTCTTCCTTTGACTGGCCTTCCCAGGGCGGTTAAGGTGGCCGGGGATTCCTCTTTCGTTCTTTATTCCTTTCGTCCTTCTTCTTTCCCTCCTCCCTCCCCTCTCACTCCCTCAAAGCCCCCTTCTCCTTCTCCCTTGTTTTCTTCCTCCCTCCCAATCTTTCTCTGTTCCTTCTCATATGTAACCCACTAACCAATAAACTGTAACTCAACGGCCAACTCGCCAGTAGACATGCTGTATTTCAATGCCCAATTCGCCAATCCGTCAGCGCTTGAAAGGTAGTCAGACACGCGGGGGAGGGGTTTCAACGGCCCAACTTGCCCATAAACATATTGTGTGTCAACGCCCAATTCGCCAATCCGTCAGCGCTTGAAGGGTAGTCCAGCTCGCGGGGGAGGGGATGGGGGTGG